CACAAGTTAGGAGTCATCAGGACTCTGTATCACAGAGCAGACAGCGTACCCACTAACTCAGGAGCCAGGCAGAAGGAGAAATCCCACACAAGACAGGCTCTAGAGCAACGTGGATATCCTAACTGGGCCTTCCTAAAAGCAGAGAAGAAACCCAAACAGGACTCCAGTCAGCCATCAGGTGAAAAGGAGGAACCCAGACCCAGACCAGTGGTCATTCCGTATGTTGAGGGAGTATCAGAGAAACTGAGATGTTTATTTTCTAAACATAACGTCCCAGTGGCTTTTAAACCCCAAAATACATTACGGCAAAGACTGGTTCATCCCAAAGATCCAGTCCTCCGGCACAAACAGAGTAATGTTGTGTATGCTGTTCAGTGTCAGGAGGGCTGTGATCAGTCTTACATCAGGGAAACTAAACAGCCACTGGCCAAAAGGATGGACCAGCACAGAAGATCAACATCATCAGGCCAGGACTCTGCGGTCTACACTCATCTCCAGGCCAGCGGTCACTCTTTCAGGGATGAAGATGTGCACATCCTGGATAGAGAGGAACGATGGTTTGAGAGAGGAGTAAAGGAGGCCATCTTTGTGAAAAGAAATCGTCCATCGTTAAACAGGAGTGGAGTCCTATGTGTTCAATTGTCCCCCTCTTACAATGCTGTGATTGCTAGTATCACTCAGCCCTCTGTGAATAGTAAACAGCCATCAGTGTGCTAATGATCCATTGTTAGGCTGATGGTCCTTCTTGAGCATGTGATCAGTTGGTTTTGGTTGTCAGCAGCAAAACTGGTTGATCCACTCTGAGAAGGGGCTATTTAAGAGACTGAGCTTAACACAGCACTTCAGACTGAGGAAGTCTCTTGGATGAGAGATGAAACGTTTCTACATTTTTTTGTTGTTTTGCTTTGTTTAGTTTTTTTGAATGTCCAGAGGACCAGATTTAACTTTTTTAGATTTTTCTACCTGGATTATTGAGCATGCATCAGGATATCCTTCATGATGGACAGACATCATGGACACCACAGCAGCAGCTGTCTTCACTGAAACATCCTCAACATGATCGTCACTGACATGAGGCCTCTGTCGATGGTTGAAGACGAAGGCTTCACTACAATAATCCACACTTTTAATCCAGGTTCCAATAATCCACACTTTTAATCCAGGTTACACTCTTCCCTCAAGGACATATTTTACAAAGTAGCTAAATATTGTGCAGGTATAAAGATACATTTGTATATATTTTTGTGTACATTTATTTTTTTAAGCTATTTGACTAACTTTTATTTTTTATTATTCAATATTTTACTAACAGAATAGTCAAAAAGCAACCTGTTTTTTGTGTGAATTGATATGTCAGTCAAATGTTCAATTTTGGAATAAAGGGGTGGAAATAAAAACGTTGTTTTTTTATGCCGATTCATCGATTAATCGAAAAAATAGTCGGCCGATGAATCGATTATTGAAATAATCGTTAGTTGCAGCCCTAATATACACATACATATACATACACATACATATACATACACATATACACATACATATACATACACATATACACATACACATACACACATACATATACATACATACATACATATACATATATACATACTAGTGCTGGACAATAATTCGATATTGATATATCTCGCGATATACTTTTATTCAATAACGATGTTTTGAGTTTGAAGCACATTTTCGATATTTCGATAAGATTACAGCGTTTCACTGACGCATTTCTTTTTCTGTTCGGGTTGAAGCGGCCATTTCAGTTTCAACCCGGACAGAAAAAGTTGTGTCACAACTACGTAAGTGCGTGGTGACGTAATGTTATGCAGAGCTCAAGTCCAGAAGGCATTAGTGGTAGCAGGCTAAGCTAGGCTAATCTCCAACGCGCGTTAAGTTTTCTCTTCAAAATGAGTGCCCATGACCGTCAGAATGTGACTGAGCAAGCTTTCACAAGAGAAGAGAAAGCAGATGACATCACTGATAAGAGAGAAAAAACTAATTTGCTGGTTTGGAAGTGGTTCGACTATCTAAGATCCGATAAACTTCTGTCAAATAATTATTGGTGTATCCAGAACTAATATGGTTTATGCCTTTTTCTTGAAGAGCATTACCAATTACCTGCTCTGAACAGAAGGCAGAAAGTATTTGCTTTAAAGCACATCCCACTTTAGTGCACGTACCACTATACTGCACAGAGCCATAAAGCATTTACACACTTTTTTTTTCTTTTCATCCAGAAAGGCTCAGCCATTCCTTTCAGTTGGTTTTAACACTGATGAATCTACTACATGTGGAAATCCAGGGGGAACATTCTCATAGGTGAAATAATGGAAACCCATTTTAATCAGGATTTTACTAAAGCGATCCTTTCTAAAGGCACAGGGAATACATTTTTGTGAGTGCAGGTGATCAAGGGTGATTTAAATAATAATAATAATAATAATAATAATAATGTCATCACAATGTCAGCACTGTATGTTTCCATACAATGGCGAAATTAGTCTCTGCATTTAACCCATCCACCACCAGGTGGTGCAGTAGGCAGCTATTGAAAGCGCCCGGGAGGCTTTTGGGGATGAGGTGTGCTGCCCAAAGACACCACGTGATGTGCAGTGACTGGGGATCGAACCTGGGACTTTTGGGTCCCAAGCCGGCTGCCCTGCCTCTACACCATCTTAAAGGGTGAAGATGAAAAAAATAGGGGGGATCTGAAATGCCAAACACAAACTTGTTCCAAACAGCTGGTGAGTCTGGGAGAAATATCTTCTATTCCCAATACATGGCCAGAAAAATACAGGAGAACATCACTGGATTGTTTACTTCTTTGAAACTGCTTTCACTAAGAACTGCACAGCTTTTGCTATAGGAGAGTCTGAAGCTGGTAATGTGGTTTTGCACTCAGATAATTGTTCTGTGGAAACAATGAAAAAGTGGGAAACTCCTACCGGGCGTGGGTGCGGTCTCCTGTTTGTCATGCTCCTCATGCCACTGCATGGTGCGGTAATAGCTCAGCATCACCTCCCACAAAGCCTTACAGAGATCCGTCAGGCAGGGAATGTAGCTGTCAAGGGTGATATGCTGCCAACAGAGAGAGATGAAAGGAAAATAAATCAAGGTCAAACATGGTCTTTTTTCCAAGATAAAACGTGCTATTATGAGTCATCTAACTGCAATGCTTACTACATTATAATATAACAGTGTCTGTGAGCTCAAAGTGAATACAAAGAGATAATACTCTGATTATTTTACATTAAAATCTGAAGATATATATAATGCACTTTGTTTCAAAGTTAAATAAACAAGATTGTTAAGGATTTGTCTTACTTACTAAAGTAATTTCACACGTACACTGCAGATCCTGACATATTCCTGAGATGAAGCATGTGCAAATATTCATGTCTGCAGCATTTTTTTTATTTAAACCTTTATTTTACCAGGAAATGCATTCATTAAGATTATTAATCTATTTTACAAGGATGTCCTGGCCAATGTGTAAAGTGCAAACAAGCCATTACAAATACAGCAACAGTCTTAATAACAGTAATATTAAAATTTATACAACAAAACATCCGGTATTAAGATATAAAGTACAATGCAAGTTTAAAAGTATCACAACTTAAGACGCTTAAGCGTTACAGGTGCAAGATGTGACTAAACCCTCTGGCAGTTTTTGTTTAAAACTAGATAAAGGACTGCTGTTTAATACACTGTATTTTTTTTTTACATTTAAGGTGTTTAGCGTATATCTTAAGAGTATACTTTAGATCCTTATATACCATCTCTTTTTATACTTTATATTTTTTCTATTTTTTGGTGTAACTGGGACCCTGAGTACATAATTTTGTTCCACCTCATGTACCACATGTGATGAGAATGACAAAGAACCTTGAACTTGAAAAGACTCAAATCTTAACTTAAGCTGCAAATCATTCCAAGACTATGGGCCGAAATAGGACATACTCATCTTTCCTGACTTTGTGCACACAAAGGGTACCTTAAACTTTCAAATCAATGTGAAGAAGACAAAGGAGATGGTCATGGACTTCAGACAAAACAAGCGCACATATTCCCCCTCCACCACCACCACCAACACCAACATAGGAGGATCTGAGGTGGAAGTGGTCTCCAGCTACAAGTACTTAGATGTGTCCCTGAATGACAACCTCAGCTGGAGCAACAACACCACCAGCCTGATCAAGAAAGCTCATCAGAGACTCTACTTCTTCAGGCGGCTGAGACGAGCTGGTCTGGGAAGCTCAGTCCTCACCTCCTTCTACAGGTGTGCAGTGGAGAGCATCCTGTGCTCCAGCATCAACGTGTGGCATGGAGGCTGCACAGCTGCAGAAAGAAAAGCTTTGCAGAGAGTGGTGAAGGCTGCACAGAAGATGTTGGAGTCAGCCTCCCCATCATCACAGACATCTACACCTCCAGATGCAGGAAGAGGGCCACCTGCATCATGAAGGACCCCACTCACCCAGCACACACACTTTTTGTCCCGCTCCCCTCAAGCAGAAGGCGGAGGAGCATTAATTGCAGAACCACTAGACTGAGGAACAGCTTCTACCCTGAAGCTGTTAGAATCATGAATCTCTAACCAGAATAATCACTGTGAAAAAAATCACTGTAATGCCACTTGATTGTTGATATGAGCAGCTGACTATCCATGCTGCTGATCGCATGCTGCTGATTTATTTCATGTCGCTGTGTTCATTCATACTCATCTGCTCACACAGACTCATGTTCATGCTGCTGCTGTTTGGCATATTGTTTTTGTACTACCAGTGCTTAGTGTATTCTTAGTTTAGAGTATTTCTTAATTCATATCTTAGATCTTATTACTGTTTTTCTTTACAATACATTATTTTGTTGGATGTAACTGGGACCCTGCGTACACAATTCCGCTTCGTGAATGACAAATAAAGAAACCTTAACCCGCAGCCAGCTACTGGCCCTGAGACAGTGTGTTCTGTAGTAAAATGAACTTGGAGTAGATATATGATGGTAATTTTCCTAAAAAGGCTTTGTATATGAAAATATACCCATGCTTCATCCTTCGAATATTGAGTGAAGTAAGTCTAGCAAGGGTATATCAAGTACTATGGTGAGTCCTAAAAGGTGAACCTGTTACGTCAGAGCAGTGTGGTAAATGAGCTCCAGTTTAGCTAAGGTAGTGGGGGAGGCAAATCTATAGATTACCGTATGTCTCCACAGTCCAGCTGTGATAAAAACAAACTTGTTACAAGCCACTTACGGGGAAAAAATAGAAAAACATCTTAGCACCTTCAAACTGGTTGATCCATTATGTGAAGGTGATATTTATAAGACTGATGAAGTTTTTTGGATGAAAAACAAAACGTTTCAATAACAATAAACCGTTCAGAGGACCCGACTTAACTTTGTTGCACATTTTGTTATGTTACAGCCATATTCCAAATTGTATTAAATTAATCTCTTTCCTCAAAATTCTACGCACAACACCCCATTATAACAATGTGAAAAAATATAGTTTTTGCGATTTTAAAAATGTATTGAAAATAGAAAACTAAGACATGAACAATTCAGAATTTGGAATAAGGCTGTAACATAAAGTGTTGAAAACGTGAAGCGCTGTGAATACTTTCGAGATATATATTTATTAGAGCTGTCATTTCTAACCTGAACCCGGAGCCCTGTAATTACTGTTAATTCATAGATCAGGTGGGATTCAGAAATGATGGTTACGGACTGGGGCCGGTTTGGATTATTTGGACCCGAGTGCAACTCTAATATATATATATATATATATATATATATATATACAGGTCCTTCTAAAAACATTAGCATATTGTGATAAAGGTCATTATTTTCCATAATGTAATGATA